GCCACGCGAGTGCCTTAAGTCGAGATAGAGTCTCGAAGATCCGCGTCCACAGTCCTTCGAAACAAGTAAAATTGCAATAGAAATCAAGGAAATCTACGCAAAGTGTTTGAACACAAAGTTCAGATTTTGTATTAAGAAGAATCAATTGCTCAAAACAAGTACCATGTGCGCCTATTTATAAAGCTCAAATAAGGTCTAATCCTAGTCTACTAAGGCTAATATACTCAATCTAGGAAAGCAATAAAATATCCTAACACTCTAGAAACAAGGAAAGAAAATATGATTCTAGTTTATGCATGCGCGTCGCCCAACCCTAGCCGCCATTATGCGCGTTGCCTTACTCCTCAAGGATTAGGTCACCTTTGCCAAGCCCGCCCACGTCATCCGCATCGCCTATTCTCAGCGCGGTTAGGTCTGCTTGCGCGTGAACCGCCTCGACGGTATTCGCGCTATCGCGTTCTTGGCCAAAATTCTCGCGTGCGTCGCCGCCCGCGCGCGCACGCTCGCTAACGAGCTGGGCCTCGGCAGCCCGACGGCTTAACCTCCGTCGCACATGATAAGCGCGGCTTGCTGCATTCTTCAGCCTTCTTATCGTGTTCTCATCATTAACGCACGACGTCTTTGGTGTTGCTTATCCACAGAATACCACTATCTAAAAGTGCTAGGTTTCGGCCTCCTTTCTTTGTACAAACAAAAAAAAAAAAAAAAAAAAACTTATTGCCAAAAATGTAAGATTGTTTTTTTCATTACATTTATATACAATTTCATTCAAATTATGTATTAAATTCATTTTTTATATATTCCATATACAAAAAAAAGTCATCCTGCACAATTAATCTATCTATAAAATGGTTGGCAAAACAATAAATAAAATCTAATTAATAAAACATCTATAGGTTTCTCGTTTATTTTTTTCATTTAATGTAAAACTGTTAAGGGGGTGTTTGGATATGAATCAACTAATAAAAAAATAGTTATTTTTTAATTATAGTTAACTTTCAAAAAAAGTAGCATGATTAGTTTTTAGTGGATATATTAAAATAATATTTAAATTAAATTAATTAAAGTTAATTTGATGTAAAAGTATGAGAAAATGATTGTAAGTATTGGTTAGTTAAAATTATGTGAGTTAATGAATAGTGAATTAAAGTTGATGTGATGTGTAATAATGATTGGTTGGTATTTTTCAATTATATTGAAAATATTAGAGATATTGGAGTTGAGTTAAAGTTGAGTTAATTGAGATATTTACTGTACAATTCATATCCAACCAGGCCCTAAATTTTATATTAATAAAGTGTTAATAATTTTTAACTAATTTATTATTTATTATATAATAGTTACTACTAATACTAATTAATGATAAATTTACATTGTGAAAGTCAAATATTTATATAAATAAAATTGTATTGCAATTTTTTTTCTCTATGTAAGAAATAAATCTTAGATGTTATTTTGAGTCCATGCAAATAATAATTTTAAGTATTTTGAGTTCATTCAAATATTATTTGACATTATTAGAATTAATTATCCAATTTTATTATATGCAATTATATATATAATATTTCTACCAAAATAATTTTTATACTCAAATAGCTTACGCAGCACACCACGCTATTTGAGCTACGCAATATAAAGACCAAAACGAGATGCACTACGCTCGCTATGTAATATAAAGACCACAAGTTCACAACGCAACGTATTTCGCTACACGCATTTTAAAACAATCGTTATTAATAAACGATATACAATAACACAACCAAACAAAAAATATAAAATAAAATAAAATGGCATAGATAAGTGCATATGTTTGATGATGATGATAAAAAATAAATAGATAAATAAATAAAGTCTCTCCGTATTTACTACTCCCTCTACTCAAAAGGATAGAGAAAAAATGAGAGTAATGCTCTTCTAGCCACGGTTAATATGTCTACTGTTTATTTAGCATGCACACATTAGTGATGTTAATATGTTCATTAAAATACATCACTAAGAGCATTCATAATGTTTTGGGTTTAATTTTATATTTGTGGCATATAAATAGACTTAAGTCCTAAATGACATGGACAAACCCAAGTAAAAAAACTCAAAAGTTATTCAACGCAAAAATAAAATATTAGGTCTAGCATACATGACAACCAATAAAAATGGTCTAATATATTTCATTTATTAAAAGAAAAATTAAATGAGGAATAAATGATGAGTGTTTGGGTTTGCACTTGGGTCTAAAATAAACCCAAGTGTGGACTATGTCTTTTTTTTTTTGCCACATAAACTAGACTAGGTCCACTTTTAATTGCATTGAGAAATATTTTTTTATAGACTAGGTCTATTTTTTACATGACATGTAATTTTTTTCTAAGAGACCCAAAATATTGTGGGTGCTCTAATGTGTGTTGCCACATAAATAGTGAACATATTAACATGTGGCCGAGCATTATTAGTCGAGAAAAGATACCTCAAAAAAGACGCGACACACAAGATTGTTGCCGACTGCTCACACATTTCTCTTGTCCGTCATCCCTTTAAAACTAACCATGGTTACTTTTCACTGTTCCAAACCTCAACCACAAACTTCAAAATACACACATGCACCTATTTGCTCTGCCCACCAAAATTAAATTAAAATCTCTGCTAAAAAAAACAATATGTAAAGAAAGGAAAACGAGGCGCACATTCACAAAACACGCACTGCACACTCCTCTTTCTTCTTCTTCTTCTTCCTTCATTTTCTCTGCAAAAACCACGCGGCGGGACAAAACCCTTTCTTCTCGCCGCTGATCATGGTGGAGTGCTCTCTTTTGGAAGACGGCTTGAGCTGCTGGTGAGTAATTTTGAATACGATTTATGTTCTCCGCCAAGTTACCAGTTCTTCGAGTTTTCTGTTCCGCTTCTCGCATTTCGGAGAATGTTGATTTTTATTTGCTTTTGTTTCTTGCTGCTTTGTTCTTGCGTTTATGTTTAGATTTTCGTTGTTTGAGATCTGAGACTCGATAGATATGGCTCATTGGGAATCTGCCGGATTGGATTTCTCTCAGGGAGCTGCGATGGCGGCGTGGTATCTCATCTATTTATGACATGACAGGGTTTATGCGATTCGTAATTTCTCAATCGAGTGAGATTTTTCTGGATTTTCCGTAATTCACCATTAATAGTTTTCCACCATATCTGATATTTTGGGGGTTTTCCATAAATTTGAAAAAGAAATTCGGGAATTTTTTTTTTTTTTTTTTTTTGGTACATAGAAATTCGGGATTTTGATATGGGAGCGATTGGGTGGAGTAATGACGACAGGGCCATGGCGGCTACTGTTCTAGGCGCAAAAGCCTTTGATTACCTAATGTCGAGCTCGGTCTCGGCGGAGTGCTCCCTCATGGGCATGGGCGACGACGAGAATCTCCAGAACAAGCTATCCGATCTGGTCGAGCACCCAAACCCCTCCAAATTCAGCTGGAACTATGCCATCTTCTGGCAGCTCTCAAAGTCCAAATCTGGAGACCTCGTCCTTGGTTGGGGAGATGGGTGCTGCCGCGAGCCCCGGGAGGATGAGGAGTCGGAACACACCCGAGCCAGGCTTGAGGATGAGGCCCAGCAAAGGATGAGGAAGAGGGTCCTGCAGAAACTCCACACCCTCTTTGGTGGCTCGGATGAGGACAGCTACGCCTTCGGCCTGGATCGGGTTACGGACACCGAGATGTTCTTTCTTGCGTCCATGTATTTCTCATTTCCCCATGGGGAGGGCGGGCCCGGAGCCTGTTTTGGGTCCGGCCGCCACGTCTGGCTAAACGATTCTCTGAGGTCGCCAGCCGATTATTGTGTCAGGTCTTTCCTTGCAAAAATGGCCGGCATGCAGACCATTGTTTTAGTCCCGACCGATGTAGGCGTTGTCGAATTGGGGTCCGTCAGGCGCGTTCCAGAGAGTGTGGAGCTCTTGAAGGCGATTGGGTCTACCTTTTCATCGTCCAAAAAGGCCGCCGCAGTTGCCGCCATAAACGACGAGAGTGATCCGGAAAACAAGGTAAGCACACAGATTCCCAGTAAGATTTTTGGGCAGGACTTGAATTCGGGCAGCGGGGGGCACTTTCGGGAGAAGGGCTTCTCGTGGGGTGCAGGAGCAAATGGGAACAGGCCACCGTTTCTAAATGCTCGGAAAGGTTTCCACTGGGCACCACAGCCGACTCCAATTCAGGTAAAAAATCCTACCAATATGGAAAAGGATTTCATGATGGGCAGCTTCCAGAAGCCGGCGGCAGCCCACAGGATGCAGATCGACTTCAGCGCAAATGCTTCGAGGCCTCACACCCCACACAGCGTGGAGTCGGAGCACTCAGACGTGGAGGCCCCGTGCAGGGTTGAGGCCACCGGGCACTCAGAGGACAAGCGACCCAGGAAGCGCGGCCGGAAGCCCGCCAACGGGCGGGAGGAGCCCCTCAACCATGTTGAAGCCGAGAGGCAGCGGCGTGAGAAGCTGAACCAGAGGTTCTACGCGCTTCGGGCAGTTGTACCCAACATCTCAAAAATGGACAAGGCCTCCCTGCTTGGGGATGCCATAGCCTACATAACCGAGCTCCAGAAGAAACTAAAGGACATGGAGGGCGAGAGGGATGGACACGCAGAGCCCAGTGACTCAAACTGTGTACCCGAGAGCGCGAGGATTGATATCGAGGGGAACTATGATGAGGTGACTGTGAGGGTCAGTTGTCCATTGAGTACCCACCCGGCCTCGGGGCTGATACAGGCGATAAAAGAAGCGCAAGGGACAATCACCGAGGCAAGAATGGCGACCGGGAGTGAGAAAGTGTTCCACACATTTGTGGTGAAGTCATTGGGGTCTGAGAGGCTGACTAAGGAGAAGCTGACTCAGGCATTGTCGATTGGGTGCAACTCCTCGTCGTAGGTTGTCGTGTGATGTGTTGTTGTAGGCAGCGGGCTGGATGGGCCGGCAGCCTGTTGGAAACAATGTGTTTTTTCGGTGGTTTTTGGTATACATAATTAGGGGAAGGAAAGAAAGTTAATGTCTTGACCCAGATTAGCTAAAGTTTCTAGTTGTTCATATATTATACAACAACGTTGTGCTGTGTTGTAAGGACGTGCTTTTTTGCCAGATTAATTAATTTTATTTAAGACTCGGTTTATTTGTAAGTTTTGTTTCCTTTCCCATTTTGTTTGTAGGAAAGATTTTTGGTTTCTGAAAAAAATCTGCGTTCTGGTTTAGATCCTTTTGAGTGATTTATTTTGTTAATGAACCTAAATTGAGATGACCTCTGTAAATCAGGATAGCAGCAGGGATGATGAAGTAGGAAATGATTCTGTGGCATGGCCGATGGCGCATTGCGTGTTTATATTTCATATGTTAATGAAATTATGATATTATGCCTGGAACTAATATTTTGTACTTAAATAAATCATAGTTTTTAAACCCGACCCGGTAATCTCGGGCAGGTTTTCAGGTCATCGGGTCAACGAGTCAATTGCTGAACCGGATAATTAATTTTAAAACTTTTAAAATTATATATAGAGTATTTTTGTCATATAAATACATAAAAGTAACAAAATTGAATGTTTTGTGTATAAAATTTTGTACATTAAAGTGTTAATAATATTTACCATATAAATATTTATAAAGTTTTATTTCGGAAAAAAAAAAATATATATATATATATGGGCCGGGTTAACCGGGTTGACCCGGCCGAGTCAAGGCTGGGTTTTGACCGGATTCTTTGTTACACGATCCAAATTGCCCACTTGGACCGGATCCGGCTGATTATCCTTATCTTATATTTATTTACTTTGTTACCCGGTTCATCTGTATACATGCACATGGTTCTCGTAAATATTAATAAGTTATGAATTAGTAAAGTAAATAAATTTTATCCATCAATATAAAAAATATGAATTTTTACAAAAAAAAAAAATATAAGATCACAATAATCAGTAATTCTATAAATACATATAAGCAATTTGTATGCCAATGTCATACTAAAAATCTTAGATATTATAATATTTACAAACATATGAATAGTAAAATTTATATGTTAAATAGTCAAGAACAACAAAAAAAATTTAAAATAAAAATATTCAAATTAACTTTTTATTATTACTGACTTGATATATTGTGTTGGATAGAATTAGCATATTATCTTAAGTAATTAACGATATTTGAATAATAAAATATTAACTTATAGTATATCTCAACGCTAGTTTATGTAAATACAATTGAAAGATTCAAATTCTAGAAAAAGCAAATACATATTTATTTTGTACAAAAACTTTGTTATTACTTACTACTTTAGGCTATGTTTGATAGACAAATAAGCTAGCTTATAGCTTATTTGATTAGTTTATTGTCTCCCTATATTAAAATAAGTCTCGTTTAGTAGGACAACTTTTTTTAAAAAGCTCGAGCTTATTTGATAAGCTTCTTTATGTAGCTTTTCAAATAAGCTAGTTGAATTTTTTATTTCAGCTAGTTTATCAGCTAATTTTACCAAAACACTTTTATCATATAAGTTAGTTTTTCAGCTATAAACAAAAAAATTACTGATAAGCTATAAGCTAGCTTATCAGCTAGTTTTGCCAAACATAACTTAAAATGTTTCTTGCTTCCCATTTGGTAGAATTACCAAAGAGGATAAGACAAAATAAATAATAATAATAATAAAAAAAAAATGATTGATACGGAGACATGTTTTGCTTTGACAAAAGTCGTATTGAAATAGAAAACCATCTCCAAAACGTGTAGAACATGTGGAATCCGTAATTCTTCTCGAGTGTCGTGTCTCATCCAAATTCCAACTTGTCACGCGGTCATTATCACTACAGACGCACGGAATAAACATGTCCGGCCACGACATTATTGCTAATACTACTATAAAAAAGTATAAATAAATAAATATAGAAAATGCAAAAAAATTAAATATGTACCAATTTTACGTTCAATATATAGTAAATAGAAGATTAAAAAAAACAACAATTATTTTTTGTTGAATGAGAAGTTAGTTAAAATTTTAAATATTGGAGAGTTTGAGTCTATGTAACTCAAAACAGAGAAGGAGTCCATCCGCGTTTGATCATAGGGATAAAAAATCTTCTCAATCGAAACTGGCATGTTAAGATTTCTCACATCTTTCGTACCGCGAATTTTATTGCGGACTACTTAACTTCTCTCGCGACCTCGGTTTCTTTAGGTATCCATCGGCTTCCGGCCCCACCCACAAGTGTCGTTTCGTGGCCTGAGCCAGGGGCGTAGCTAGGAATAAAAAACACCCTGGTTTGACCACGGTAAAGGTACAACTTGAGAGTAGAATTGAGTTGTTCGTTAATACAGTATAGTTCGACTTGTGAAAACAAGCTATAAAACAACTCATTTAATTAACAAATCGAGTCCAATTTGTTGTAAATATATATCTAACTTTTTATACAAATATGGAACAATCAAGTTAAGTTGAACACGTTCACGATTAAATAAATCGTGTTCATGAACAACTCGTGTATGATTTTGGGTTTATGGAACAAGCCGAGCTCAAGCGATCCTTTGGCTCGTTTATTAAGTTTTTCGAGCTAAGCTAGCTTATTTATTAAAGATCATGAGCTCGTACACAACGTACTAGGTTTAGGTCGAATTACACTTCTATTGACATATAGAATTCAAAACAATATGAAGCTAAAATTTAATTAAAAAGTACATATAAAATTTTGTATGTTAATTACAAACATTCAAAGTGCGAAAAGAATAAAAATGTACATGTTTATGATGTGTCACTGCAAAATAAATTGGTATTTCAACGTAAAATTCTACAGTAATATATTCCTATGGAAATTCCAACAAATATTTCAATGGTATAGCTTTCGTTGGAATGATTCCAATGAAAATTCCAACAAAAATATTTTTGGAGTGAGCTGTCCATTTGAATTTCAAATGAAATTTGACGATTCCAACGAGCATTTTTACAACGTTTTTTTTACCATACGAATTTTTGTTCAAATTTTTATCTACGCATATTTCAATAGTTGGAAAATCTACCGTTGGAATCTTCGAGATCAAACAGAAATTTCAATGGAAAATCTATTCTAACGATTTTTTTGTTGGAATTTTTGTAGGAATTTATTGAAAAACTGCAACGGAAATAATCGCATTGGATTAGGATACATTTATGTTGGAATTTTTTGTTGAAATTTCATCACCTTTTATAGTGTGTCCCACAATTTTAAAACCATAGATCTTGTTAAAATCATAATAATGCTTTTTATGTATAATATAATAGACTGAAGATATTTGTTCTTAATAGAGTAAAGATTAAAAACACTAAAGAAAGTCTACAAGAGTAATAAGTTTTTTGGGAGAAGTAAATATTGTACATAATTGTCTATTTATTTGTTACAGCCACACTAGAAAGATTATTGAAATTATGCACTCTAGTTAAAATAAATCAATTAAACAAATGTATAAAATTCGGATGTTTGTAGATAATAAAATACAAAATGAGGCAACAAGCAGTGGGATAGGAAGGATATATTGTACGTAATGAAACACACATCAACTCTAAAGTGTTACATTTGGTAAAATAAAATATAATATCACAACATGAGCTAAATTTAACCTGGGCTATTCATATCCATGTGGGCTACTACTCTTTAAAACCAAGTTATGTAGCCTGGGCTGGAGCCCACCCCAGCCTTTGGGGTAGCTCCGCCCCTGGCCTGAGCACGACGTAAGAGGTGTCTCTTACCTACAAAATGTTTGCATTTAGCCTCTCGCAAGTTATTTCCTCTCATTCTATCAAAAAATAAAATAAAATAAAATAAAATAATAATAATAATAATAATAATAATAATAATAATAATAATAATAATAATAATAATAATAATAATAATAAATCAATAATGATTGTATTACTTCGATTAAATAATTTTTATATTAGTATGCAAAAGTTTTTATTAAATTAAATTAATCTTATAAGTTTATTCTCTATATATGTGTTCAACCTTTTCATACAATTTTTGGTAAAATTATAGAATACTTACAATTTGAACATTGAACAAGACTACGTATGTTGATAATTTAGAAAAAGAAGAGAAACGGCTAGCAGGCTGGAAGGCTTCAACACTTTCTATGGCGGGTAGGGCAACCCTAGCTCAGGCGACTTTGAGTTCTTTGCCATATTTCTCCATGCAAACCGCTTCATTGTCGTATGGGTTAGGCTAGTCATAATAAATAAAGAATAAGGGGTTGGTTTTTCGTTGTGATAGTCTGGAACGGAAGTGTAAGAATTTTGTTTCGGGTGGCACGAAAACATCCCAAAAAATTAACTTAGTCTCTTGGTCTGATGTTTGCCGGCCAAAGGAGGAGGGCGGACTAGGAATGAAAGAAAAACGGATGTTATGGCTCATGAACAATCATACTTATGAAGTTAGCTTGGAGTTTTTTGAAAGAGCCTCGCTTACTTTGGCGTCGGGTGCTTCGAGCCAATATATACGCTGGAACCAATGCAGATGGGTGAAGATTTTGAGTTGCCCCAAGGCTCGAAGGTGCTCAGGTCGATTAGAGGTGTGTGGAAGGAGACTCTGGCAGAGAGTCGATGGTCTGTGGGTAATGGTCACAAAGCTTGGTTCTGGTGGGATATGTGGCTAAACCGTGAGAATCCATTGATAAAGTCCGCGACGGCTCTGGTGTCGGGGACGATGCTTGATGCTACGGTGTCTGCGTATGTTACGTCGGGGGGATGATGGAACTGGCCGATGTTTCAAGGCTTGTTGTCGGTCAC